TTGCGCGAAATTCAAAAAACAAACAAACAAGTTCTGTTAAAAGTAGCTACCTTCTAAGAACTTGCGAAAGATTGAACTATAAATATGTGAGATTGAGAAAGAATCCTTATCTGTTCTTATTGTGAATATGTATATAAATATATATAGAAGTTGTATTTGGCAGACAGTACATCCTACTGTGTGGGTCTCACTTCTGAAGATACCTCTTTTACTAAGGTATAGTTTATCCTTACCTAATTGTAGTTTCTAACTTATTTTTATTCACCAGTCAATATCCGTCCTAGATAAACGATATTGTTAACGCTCACTTTCCCTTCGGTGTTAACATTAGTACAACTGTTGTATAATGTCTACATGTATTCCATGCACACAGATACAGCAGTTACATTAAATTGTAGAAGAATGATGTCACATATCACTATTTTCCCATTTTACTTTTATACATTTTTCATGTTGAAATATCTGCCATTGATGTACTGAGAATACAGCTGGAAATATCGTGGACAAAATAAAACCAATGAAATACTGAGAATACAGCTGGAAATATCGTGGACAAAATAAAATCAATGAAGTACTGAGAATACAGCTGGAAATATCATGGACAAAATAAAACCAATGAAGTACTGAGAATACAGCTGGAAATATCGTGGACAAAATAAAACCAGTGAAGTACTGAGAATACAGCTGGAAATATCGTGGACAAAATAAAACCAATGAAGTACTGAGAATACAGCTGGAAATATCGTGGACAAAATAAAACCAGTGGAGTACTGAGAATACAGCTGGAAATATCGTGGACAAAATAAAACCAGTGAAGTACTGAGAATACAGCTGGAAATATCGTGGACAAACTAAAACCAGTGAAGTACTGAGAACACAACTGAAACTGTCGTGGACAAAATCAAAATGAGGATACTGATAATTTAATGCATTCTAATCATTATATATTTTTAGTGTTTAGTTATTAATTTACGGCAGTATGTACTTCTAGTCAGTTCGTTATATAGAACTGGCTCAATGAACTTAAGTTTGTTTTTAGTTCTGATCTATATAGTTTTCTTACTCTTGATCAAAAGTTATTATTAAGTAGTTGAAATAAATATCAATATTTCTCCTAATTTGCTAAAGATCGGCGATTAATTGTTTCATACAAAACAACTACACAATTTTATAGTTGGTAGGAGTGAAGGTAAACTCGTTAGTTTTGGGTAGGGCACGTTAATGGACCTGAATAAAGGTTCGGGTTATAGAAGTAGATAATTTGTGCTTTAAGTTGTGGATATAGTCACTTGAAGGTTATAAGTATACTTGGGACCTAGGAAGTGATTGAATACTTACAGCTATACCAGCAATTCCTATTTCTCCTTTAGTCCCTCTCAATCCTGGAATTCCTTGTAAACCTGGTTCACCAGGTTCGCCATGAGGGCCAGGTGGGCCCTGAAAATGTATGAATTTAAAATATGTATTAGAACACAAAATAACTGTTTTAAATCAACTAAAAAAGCTTACGCCCCAGACATTACATGATTAGTGCTTAAATTAAAGCGATGAACCAAATAATTTAACTGAATATGTTGCAATATTATCTTCAGTAAAACACACACAGAGTTTTACTAACAATTATCTTACTACTTATTTTTGTTCGAGGTTCTGAAATCTCATCGCATTTCCTTTCTCCTTCCAGACAAAAGCACTTTGTTGTTAAACTGATTCCCTATATTGAATTTTGTTTTTAAAACATATCATTTTTGATATAGTTCTTTACTTACTTCTGTCGGTTTGGCATGACCTCGTGGTAAGGGGCTCGACTCACTATATGCGGGCTGTGGGTTCGAATTCCTATCATCGTGGGGGCGTTGTAATGTGTCGATCAGTCCCACTATTTGTTGGTAAAAGAGTAGGCCAAGATTGGCAGTGGATAATGTTGATTAGATTGCCTTCCCTCTGGTCTATTAGGGACGGGTAGCGTAGATACCTCGCGAGTAGCTTGGCGCGAAATTTAAAAACAAACAAACAAATACTTACTTCCGTTCCATTTAATCCAGGCGGACCTGGAGGACCAGCCGGACACACTTGACATTCTTGCCGTTTCTGCAGATTTTCCTTGAGTAACATATAATATAATAGAACTCAAAATGGTTTTGTATAAACAAGTTAGTTTTATACAGAGTATTTTATACAAATCTTATTAGATCAATTCTGTGTAAGTTATTTGATCACTAACGATTCTCTTAACATATTAACACGAACAAAAGGCGAATTTATAACATCCAAATAACTTGACATTCTCAGAACACCTAGGAAAACTAGTGTCCAGTCTGTAATAGAAATAACAGTAACAGTGTTAAAATCACATAGTCTAGTAACAAGCAAAATAACACAATTCCTGATACAAAACTCTGTAAAATTACTTTTGTTATTTTGATAATTGAACAATCATTTTATATTTTCGTATTTTCTTTCTTTTTTAACAACATTTAGTTGTATCATATCATTAGTTTCATTAGAGAATGACTGACTCTCACTACTTACAGGTAGTTCATCACAAGTTTCTCTTTTCGCCCGCGTGGGGTCGCAGCTCAATACCATCCATTGTAAATCTAACTAAAAAAAAAAATCTTGTTTAGAAAAATTGGTCTAAATATCAAGTTTCATAAAAATAAATTGTTACTTTCTAATTTGAACATATTACGTTTAATCTTCGTACTGGTAATATTCTAACTTATACAAATGTTTTACTCTTTGCGTTAAATTATTTCCGAAGCAAACGCTACCTACAGGCACACTTTTGTTTTTGCCTTTGTACTGTGCAAGCACTATGTTTCCGTTGACGTCTATTGGTCCACGTTGATTCATAGTCAGTGTTGTCGCCTTTTTACAATCCATGTAAAGCGTGACTTTATCTTGATAGACACTGAAGTCAATCTTGTGCCATTGTTTGTCGTTTACCTGAAATCACCAAAAGCAAACGTTATTTTCAACATCATAATGTGTTCCATAGTCAATCTGATTACCTTGATCATTAACGAGTGAAAACCGTGAGAATTTTGTTTTTTAAGTTCCAAACACCTAAACTACTTCAAGGAAATTCTTGATAATAAGAAACATTAAAATAAATAGAAAACACTTTAGAATATCACTTTTGTCATTATAAATGTACATTAGCATATTTGAATTTAACATTATGTTCGGATTAACAGCAAATGTTAAAGACTGAGTACTAAACATATACATAGTAACATGATATAATGACATTTGTCATTTTAAAATTGGAATCTGATCAATATTTTGTGATTTTTTTTTCTGTGCTCTGCCGATCACGGTTATCGAAACTCGGTTTCAAGCGTTGTAAGTCCGCAGACATACCGCTGTACCTCTGAGGGGCCACATAATATGATGTTAATTTGTTGTTAGGCGCAAAGAAGCAAAATAGACTATCTGTGCTGGGCCCACTGCCTGGATCGAGCACCGAATTTTCGCTTTATAAACCCTCATGTTTACAGATGAGTTACCGAGGGGCATAATATGGTGCAATTAAACTATAATGCTCTAGACATGGCCGAATTAAAAGATGTTAACCAAAGACTCGGGAAACTCGCGAATTGTTTAATTTACATGAATTAAAGTAAGGCGCTATTGTTTTACAGTTTACTGTTTGTTACCTGTATACAGACAACTAATTACAACTTCATCGGTAATAATAGCCTTTTAATTACTAAAAGAAAAGAAAAAAAGTAGCTCCAAGTGACTATGGTGACCTTATAAGTTCCGTGTATATATTTTTTTCTTTTTTGTACTCATCACAATGAACCCTATGTTCATATAGGTTTCGAAGGATATAAACTACTAACTTAGTGTTATGAATCGCAGTTGATAAGAAGTTTAAGATCTTTCTTCTCTCATCAACAAAATTGTAAACTTCGGCAAGAAAGAAACGCATGGCTTTCATTCGATCTATTATAATATTATAATTATTATAACTAAGTGTAGAACAATCTTTGTGGAGGGACTAACTTCATTCCAGCCCCCCCCCCCCACTGACTCTGATCCACATAAAACTTTGCACATATTTAGTGCTGATTTTGAGCCGCAAATTCCACAATTTGTGCTGCACTACAACTAAAGTTAAAGTTATAGGACAATTTTTGTGGATGGGACTTACTTCACTCCAGCTATACACGGACTCTGATCCATATGAAACGTGACACACATATCTAGTGACGATTTTATGCAGAAAAGTTCAGAATTTGTGCTACACTACAAATAGACTTAAAGCGCAATCATTGTGTGAGGGTAACTTCACAACATCTGACTCAAATCCACATGAAATTTCGCACACATTTAATTAATATAATTTAACAGAAGAAAGCAAATGGTGCCGTATAATGGTACTAAAAATAACGTTACTCCAAAATATAATTAAGATTTCAAATTTTGTAGTTTTTATCTCTTGCTCAACTACTCTAAATAGTTTTTGTTTATTTTCAAAACATACTATTCATACTTTAACATTGCCTTTGACTCGTTCGATAGCATTGAATTATTATAGCTCAGAGTACGTAGTTTCAATAAATCTACTATGGCGCTTGTCTTTTAATATTTCAGTGTCATTAGCATGGTTAGTTTTGATTTTTGACACAGGACTGTAAATATAAAAGTTTAACTTATTTCATGACAAATTAATCCTATTCATTATAGGGTCGTGTATTTGGTGTCGCACCAAGTTGGGTTATTATCTGTCTAGCGTCTCTGACTGTGAACTGTGTTCTCTCCTGTTTCTTACACTCAGACTCAAGACAGGATGTCTAATTCTTAACTTATAGTCAACTCTCATACAGGATTACACAGACTTACAACAATGATATATCGTAAACCTTTTAACTTGTGTACAACCTTACTACTCTACTTTCATGTTAAGCTCTACTACAATGATTGGAAGCACCGTTTTCTTCTTAAACGTTTGCCGATACAGATCTCATGACGATTCTCAGGGATAGAATTTGTTCTTTGGTTATGCTGTCTTCTAAGAAAGCAACAAGTCATCATCGTCATACGATTATTTCCGCTCTCAAACCTCAAATTTTCATAAGAAAACGACCCCCCAAACAGCATGTGTTTTGACACAGGTGTTTTGGATGCCAGTGGAGGTAACCGTTTACTCCAATCTGTAATTACTAACAATATTATATTTAAACTAGCAAAATAATATCCACACGGATACAGTAGTTATACAAAAGTACACAACAAAAAGTTTAAAAAGTCGCTTCATAACATTGATCATCAGACAAGCGTTTCTCAAACTTTTGTCATCTACGTCCCTTTGATAAATATGGTTTCTCGCGCGCCCCCTCCTTTTTGAAATGACTTAAAGAGTGAGTTCAGTGAAGAGAGGTAATACATGTATACGAATTAAAATGTTACATGTATTGTAGCAATTATTTATTATTTTCATTAATGAAAAATATATTAAAACACTTAATTTTGCATCATTGCACCATTGACTCTATTCTAATCGCTCGAGCCCCCAAGAAATAATTTACTCCCCTCTAGGAGGGGTGCCACACACTTTGGAAAACGCTGCACTAGACTATTAGAATATAAGTATTTATATAATATATATATATATATATTATATAAGCCTAAGGTGTTTTATATTTACATTGATCCAGGCCGTGAAGCTCAAACTAATTGGAAAGTACATAAAATGTACATAAGATCAGTTCCATCTAAATGAGACCCTGGTGTCAGTGATGTCCCATAGTAGATCTAGTAAAACGGTACAGTTCCATCTAAATGAGACCCTGGTGTCAGTGATGTCCCATAGTAGATCTAGTAATACGGTACAGTTCCATCTAAATGAATAACACTT